TTTCGGCTTAGCTCAATGTCCTTGCTACTGCAAGAAATGCAATTTAGCAAAAAAAACTCTTTGAGGGAAAGCAAAGTCTAGCATTAATTGGTGCTGTGCCCCGTATTTATGGCTGGGCTGATGCCATTAAGTCAAAATTCATTGCAATTAAACACAACTCCTAATAATTACACAGTTCTCTCTTGTAGGGCATATCTTTATGGCTCCGATAGCCCTTCTGTCACATGGCACTGCAGAGCTGTCTCCTTTCCATGGCAGAGGTCTCTCCACCTCCCCAGCCCTTCCTGCCACCAGGAGCCCCAAATCAGAACATCCCCAGCTGGAAGGGGCCCGCAAGGACCTGGGGGTCCAACTCCCGGCTCTGCACAGCACCACCCAAAAATCAGACCGTGCGTCTGAGAGCGTTGTGTGAACTCTCCTTCAGCTCAGGGATACCACGTATTAAAGGTTTACTGCTAAAGCTGCAGCTGCCACCCTAGTTCTCAGCGCACTGAGAGTTGGGGCACGCACTGAGAATGGGAAGGGAGCAGTGCAGAGCCTGGCACCTCTCCCTGCACACCCTCACTGATAGGATCACCCAGCGCTCAGACACTGAGCACCCACTGTGAGGGGGGCCAGCTGCAAGCTCCCCATCCAGAAGGCACACGGGGATAGCCTGCACTGTGCAGGGCCAGGCTGAGGCTCCCAGCTCCCTCACATCATCCCTGGGCTGAGCCCCACAACCTGCTCCCAGCTTCCTGTCCACCACCATTACCCCTGGGACAAGCCCCACCAGCTGCCCCCAGCTGCCTCACCATCACCCCTGGGCACCCCCTGCCACCTGCCCCTGCCAGAACCCTGCTCCCCCCCCATCCCTAGGCAACCCCCCCACTGCCTCTTCCTGACTGCCCCAGCTCCCTCACCACCACCACCACCCTAGACCAAACCTCACAACCTGCTCCCCATCACCCCTGGGCACCCCTACCACCTCCCAGCTATCCCCCATCCCCATCTCTACCCCCTGGCCGATCCCTACAAACCTGCTCCCAGCTCCCTCCCCATCACCCTCAGACACCCCCTGCCGCCTCCCCCTGACAGGACCCTGCTCCCCCATCACCCCCAGTCATCTCCCCACCACCTCCCCTGCCTGTGCCCCGCTCCCAGCTCCCCCCCATCAACCTCCTCCTAACGGGGTACACCTCCCAACTCCCCCCCATCACCCCCACTCACCCCCCACCACCTCCCCATCACCCCCAGCCCCCCCTCACCCCCTCCCCCTTGCCAGGACCACCTCCAGCTCCCTCTCCATCACCCCCCTCACCACCTCCCCTGCCCGTACCCACCTCCCTGCCCCCATATCACCCCCATCACCCCCAAGCCCCCCCCACCCCCCTTCCCCTCCCATCCCCACCTCCCCTGACAGGACCCAGCCCCCCCCACTAGGCCCATCTCCCCCTCCACCCCCCCCCCCACGCTTTCCCACCCCCCTCCCCGCTTCCCCCCGCTCCCCCCCCGTTCCCCCCCCATCCCTCCCCGTCCCCCCAGCACCCACCGGCCCGGAGGTGGCCAACCCTCGGCGCAGGGCAGCGGCGGCAGCGGCGGGGCGGGCGATGCGGGGCAGCATGGCGGCGGCGGCGGCGGCTGAGGCGACTCCAACGACCTCCACAGCTCCGCCTCTCGCGAGACTTCCGCCCCTCCCGCCTCCAGTTCTCGCGAGACCTCCCCGCCCTCACCCCCCATCCACCCGGCCGCCGCGCCGAGGAAGCATCGCGAGGTTTCGGCGCGTGACGTCACCCCCTAGCAACGGGCTGGGCGGGAAGGGGGAGGCGTTGCCATGGCAACGGGCGGAGCGCGGCCTGGTCCGCGGGGAGCCATGGCGGGGGTGCTGCTGTGCGAGCCCGGCCGCCTCTACAACGCCCTCCAGCAGCAGCGCCGCCTGCCCCGCCTGGCCGAGCACAACTACCTCAGCCTGCTGGGTGAGGACGCCCACGGGCAGGAGCTGTGCGGGCTCACGGGGCTCGTGAAGGCGCAGGGAGGGCTCCTGCGGGTCACCGAGGCCTTGCTTGAGGGGTGTGTGGCCGCCCCGTTGCTCGCTGTGAGGCAGGGATGCGCTGCTGTCGTTCTTCATGCGGAGTGGAAAGCGGCCCCGTGTGGCACTTGGCCCCACAGGGAGAGTAAAATATAAATAAGGAAGTTTTCTACTTATTTATAATCCTGGCTGCTGCTTCAACTCCATCCCGCATCCAGCTCCCCGCTCCCTGACCCCTGCATCCCCCTGCCCTGCTCCCAGCGGTGCAGGCAGGCAGACGAGAGGTGCTGGCCATCACACAAAGCATCCCGATAAGTGTTTGCGTCCTTCGGGGTGCCCAGAGTCCCCAAATGGTGCCACACACTGCACCTTTTGGTCAGGGGGTCGGACAGATTGGGAGCAGGATGGGGGCCCTGCCGTGTGCCCTCCTCAGGAGGTGCTGGAGGGCACAGCACCGTGCTCAGGGCAGCTTCGGGGCTGTTGGCATCGCCTTGTGCTGCTCATACTTAGAATCACATCAGTGTTGGGGGTTGTTTATCCATGTGTAAAGTCTCCATTTATAAGAAACAGAGTCTTTCTCTTGCTGACATTGGTGCCTGAATTCCCACTTGCTGAATTTGAAGCAGGATTCTACCTTAAAAGCACCAAATAAGCCAATTGCTCCACCTTGGTTATCTTTTTTTTTTTTTTTTTTTTTTCCAGATGCCCGTACTCAGCGCGAGTACAACGAGAGCCACATTGTTACAGCACGCAGGATTGAACAGGTGAGGAAGGATTGCAGTTTGTGTAAATAATCTCTGCATTTAGCAATTAGCAGTACATGAAATGGGCTTAAAAAACAAGGGAGTTGTCCTCGCCTCTCCCCTGCCTCCTTCAGCCATGCTCCAGTTCTGCCGCTGGGGGGATGTGTTCTGTCACACAGAAGAGCTGGCTTCAGTAGCCCAAAGGATTGGCACGCTGAGGCTGTGTATCAAGAAAATGTTGCACAAGAACTGACATATTGCAGGCTTGTCTCACAAAGGACAGTGCTGACATCTTTACCACTGCAGCAGATGAAGCAATCTGGAGCAGCCTGCATGATTTCTGAATTCTACCTGGGTCTTTCGGCATAAAGCACAGACATAGACCCAATCTCTTCTCCTTGTGTTGATGCCACAAGAAAAGCGTGGAGCTGTGCTCCTGATAGAATTCTGTGATTTTGTCAGAGCCCTACAGGGGAGTACCTGGTGCCGGATGCAGAGGAGCTTGCGTGTGTCAAATACTGCGTGGTGTATGACTGCGAGACCAGCTCTTTAGACTTGTCTGACGATGAGGAAGAGGAGAAAGAAAAAGGTACCTGTGACTCATGTCAGTGAAGACCTCACTGCAGGATGGGTATTCTTCCCACTCCTCATTACTTTAGTGAGCTTCCTGGCAGGCCTGCTTTCCTATCTGTAGACTGACCCCTCTGAAGTTGTTGCTTGAAAGGAATTGATCTTTTAAATTATTCTTATTTTTTCACATCTCACTGAAATTGAGCTTGTCCAACGGTTGCCTTTCAGGGAGCAATGGTTCTTCAGAGACTGAAAACACTGACTCAAGCTCCGTATGTTCACAGAGTGAGTATTTCCTTCTCTGAGGGTTACGAAACCTTCACGTTATCACATTGAAGAAGACGTAGCTTTAACGTGGGTGCTGAGGTAATGGAGTTCACTGAAAAGTGTGAAAAGCTGGAAACTTCTCCCTGTAATTGTTCAGGCTTCTTTGAACCATGGAAATGTATAGTTGCAACACATCCTCTAGCCAGGAGTGCTGCTCTATGCAGAACCACTTCTTTACATTTGTTTGGCTCCAACCAGCTTTATAAAGGCTACTGCAGTTTTAGCAAAGACTACATCTAGCCCACACCCCAATTTTTAAGAAAAAAATCTGGGAGTGTAAGCAGAATGGACAAAGCAAGCATTCAGAAGTACTTGGTGATGAGACATGAGCATGGAAGGTGTGAAGAGTCAGCAGCAGGTTTCTGTTGCACTCATCTGTTTCTAAAGCAGGCAGAGCTAGAGGCAACCTAGATGGATCCAGGGGAAGAAGGAGGGGGCAAAACCATCTCTCATATGATTTGCTTCGCTGAGGGAGTGTTTGAAATGCTTGGGAAGAATGTGTTCAAGACACCTCTTTCACTTCCTTTTGTAGGCTATAGAAAAGGGTCTCCATGCAACTAAAATTACTAGATTTATACTAATAATGCTTTGCTATTATGGGAACTTATTACAAGCATTTCCCAAAGAATAATGGGGAGAGAATAAAAACTTTAATTGGACTTACAAAAGAAAACAGGAGAGGAATAGGACTAGAGGTGAGCAGCAGCTTGTTACTGACCTGCAGCAACAGTTACATAAATAATAAGTCTGGCTTTTAACAAGGCTTTCTCCAGACCATTAGATGAAATGAAAAGGAGTTTGCTGGTGGTGCCAGAGGGCCAGATTTAACCCCCAGGGCTGTTGGAGGCACACTAAACCTGCCCCAGCAAATAGCTTTTTGATCTCATTAGATGCCGAGGAAGGAACTGCCGTCCGACATGCCAGAAGCTTGCAGCAATTCACCCGCCATCCCGTGCTGGTCCTGAGGGGAGGATACAAGCGGTTTTCAGCTTGCTATCATTTTCTGAGGACTCAGAAGATACTGTGGATGCCTCAGGTGAGACTAGGCCAATTTGCAAGTAAAAGACATGAGCGTTCGTATTCATCTGATGATAGCTAATGAATAGCTAAGTGGTGCTGTAAGCCTGCTATCAGAGTAATTTCAAACAAAGGAATTAAATGTAATTTAAATTACTGCTCTTCCCCCGAGTGTCACCACAAATTCTTTTGCAGCCACACTGTCTTTTTTTTTTTCCTCTCCTATTGCGTGAAAGCTAGCTCGTGGAAGCAGCCAAGGAAGCCTCCTCTGATAACCCCAAAACTGGCCTACTGGAGAGTGCAGATAACTAAACAAACAGTAGCAAACAATGAAATAAGGCAGGCTCCTCTTTAATCTCTTTTATATGAGGTTATCTGAGATGTTACACAGTAAATGTTTCCAGACAGAGGTGCAACTATCAAGCCCTGTATTTCATGCCTATAAAGCTTTTTGTCTGGAAGGGTCACAAAGCAAATGTTGGAGCATTGCTTCAATAGGCCCAGAAAGAAAGGAGCCATCCACTGGTACACTGGTACCTTGATTGTTTGGTTTCACCTGCAAACATTGATCTATTTAACTTGGGAGAAACAATTGTCCTATTTTCACATCTAGGACAGGACCTGCAGCAGGGCAGATTTAGAGGGCACTGTACAGCAACATCCTTTGTGTCCAATTCCTACTACTTCACATCTGCTTCACACGAAGCAGCCCACGACACAGTGCCAACCTTGCGGGATGCTACAGCACAGAAAATGAATTCACTGTGCTCCTTTGTGAGGGGCAGCAAACTGCTAAACTCCCCCAGCAGATTCAGCTGGACACAGAATTACCTCCTCAGCTCAGTTTAAGCTGTTGCTCTCTGATGCTCTAAGCTGTTGAGCTGCAGTTTTGTTCCGATGCAGCATTACGGAGTATCAGTTATGGATGTAGAAGCACTGCTGCCTACTTGTATATTTTTGTTCTCAGCCTTTCGGCAGCACAGAGACAAAATCTCTGTGGACTTGTGCTGTGCCACGACGTTGCACCTGCAGCTCTGCAGGTGGCAGATGACTTCAGTTGGCCTTGTGAACGATAACCGGAGAAAACATCAAATGAATCCGTTATGCTGTGGTTCCTCCAGACATTGCAAAGAATATATTCTTCCACCTGTTTAGTTAGGATTTGTTTCAAGTAATGCCACAATGACAGTGTTTTTGTTAATTATTCTCACTAAATCTAGCAAGACTTCCATATTTCAGAATGTCCGGGTGATTGAATGCATCATTACATTCAAATGTGTCATGGGCTGCTGACTAAGTGTGTGTTCATTTCTCTACGTGACTTCTGTTTAAGGAGCTAAAAGAGCAAATATGCTCTGAACTGAACCCACGGCTTCTCTCCTTGCAGGAACTAGACAACTTCCAGCTGTACCCTGTAGAAATACTGCCTGCAAAGTTATACATGGGCAATTTCAAGCAGGCCTGTGACCAACAAATTCAGAAAGATTTGAAGATCAAAGCTCAAGTCAATATTTCTGAGCAGCCTTCTACACTGTAAGTTTTCAGGGTGTATTCTCACTGATGTCTGTGCCTGTGAGGTGGCACAGCATCACAGCAGCAAGTGCCTATAAACTTCCAGGGAAAACTCTGTTTTTTCACTGCAGATTTGGGTGCTATTTCACACTCAGTTTTGTGATCTCTACTTGCATAGCAAGAGTTTGCACAGCAGCAATGCATTCCTGTAGCCATTTACTGTGACAGATTGTGAGGACTGGGAGGTCCTCAGCATTTCCAGTCTGTTACATGCCACCATCCTTCAGGTAGAACAGTAGCCTTCTGAGCAAAATCTTACAAACACATCAGTGTAAAAGCTAAATCATTGATGTTTCACATTGTTCATCTTCCTTCCTTAACTTCTTCTGTCCATGACCGCTCAGCTCAGTCAGGCTGTGCTGGAAATGTCATTTCATCCAATGAAAAATCCAGTGGCATTTCTCAGGGTCTTGGCCAAAGCAAAGTAAGCAACAAGTCCAGTTACTTACCTCAGGACACGTGTACCAGCAGGCATTTCTCCTGCCTCTGGTTTCAGAAGACATCAAAGGTCTCTGTACCCTGTGTGATCTCCCCTTGCCATCTGTGTGACGTGCTTTCACATTTCAGAAATGCCTCACTGGTGTTTTGTGCCATTAGTTCTCTGAGCTGAGTTCTCTGAGCTTCTAGAAGCGGGAGGATGCTGTCACAGAAAACCACATGAAGTGACTCATGGAGCCCTGTTGCCATAACTGCTAACGTGCACGCTGCGAAGGCACTCTTGCTTTCAGTTCATCTGTTTTCATTTAGCTCTCAGATAAGGGAGGCTGTAGGATAAAATTAAGGCATCAATGCTGATACCACGTGGAATGCAAAATCAGTAATTAAGCTGGTTCTGTATTACGTGTGCCTCAGTGTCTTACCATAACAATCCCTTACTGTAGTGTTAATGATGAAAAACTCACACACGTAACAGCAAACAAAATTATCATCTTGCCTCTAACAAACAATTTTCCCCCACAGTTGCTTTGTTGGCCCATGTAATGCTGCGTGCTCTTTTTACAGGTTTGCAGAAGACAAATATCTCCATATATCTGTTCCAGATTCACTCGAAGCAAATCTTTTTTCTTCCTTTCCCACCATTTGTCATTTCATAGGTGAGTTGTTCCTGATCTGGAATTCCTGAGCCCTTGTTCACTCTGAGATATTAAATGGGAGTGACTGCAATTGACTCCAGCAGGAAGCTCAAACGGGAGGGTCGTAATCTTTCAAGATCTCAGCATACTCCCAAGCCAGCCCACACCCTAATGTACACCAGAGCTGTCTCAGTAACCAGCCTGACACAGAGAGGAGATTTTAGAGGGCATCTGACACTGATGTTCCTGACAGAGAGTACTCACTTTAAAGAACACCTCACTGTCATAGCAGTGAGCTTTCCACTAGGTGTGAGAAGGCTTTTGGGATGTCTGTGAGGACTTCACAGGATCCCCTCCTATTCCTTTGTGTTTAAATACAACTGTTCGACTCACCAGCCCAAATCTTCAACCACCGGAGCTTTATTTGAGCAGGAGTGTGATGCCCATTGGAGAATTTACCATGAGACACTCTCAACCCTTGGGGTTTGCTGTGCAGACTCGCTGTAGGGCCTAGAGAAACTTTCAGGTTGGACAACATAAACCTGCCTTCAGCTGATTATATCAGAAAGGGCAAAGAAAAACATACCAGCTCAGTACCTGCAGCAGCACGGCAGGCATAGTTCCTGCAGCTTCATCCCATGATGGTGTCCACCTGCGTCGTTGTCTTGTATTGCACCTACAAAACAGCATCTGCCTCAGACCAAGGCCCTGCTGTGCTAAGTGCCCTACAGACCCAGGAGCAAAAGACCACTCTGTCCCCACAGAACTTGTAATGCAAGTACAAAGTCAGAAATAACAATTGGACACAAAAAAACAAGGAAGTGAAAGCTGAGGATATAATCCTGTAGTCCTAAACTGAATTTCATGACTGGCATGCATTGAAACCCACACGCTGATATCCACTTACTTGTCCTGCATTTTGCCCCATCTTTTTACCCAGCCTGGAAGAGTGCTTGGAAGAAAATTTAAAAAAAAAAAAAAAAGAAAACAACCTCTCAGCAACAGCAGAATAGGCTTTGCCCTACAAATTCTAGAGCACAGTTGCTGATATTCCAAAAACACGTCGTGCTGTCTACTCTGGAGAGGGAGGGAAAGAAGTAAAAGGTTTATTACTAAATTATGGAAATAGATAGCAGAGTTGATGTGGTTAGCAGTGAATGACAGCATCCTCAAGCCAAGTGGGCTTGGCTTCTGTAGGAAATGAGTTTGCTGGCCTTACAGATTTCCACTGCAAAGCATGCACAACATGAGAAAAACAGCACCCTAACTGCCATGCACGTACTTCCCACTGGTGATCCCCACGGAGGGGTAAGGGATTTGAAGTCAAGTCCCTGCCAGTTTGAGAGCCAATTCCTCCAGCTTGAGTGGACAACAGTGAGGTTTGCATTCAACAGACATTTTGTTAGCTTTAAACCTACCTGGAAGAGTTTTGAGTTGCTGGTGTGATGCTGACCACAGCTGCTTGGTCCTGGTGGGCCACTTTTTCTCACAGTCACCTGCTAAAAAGGTGACACTGATCTGTCACGAAGCATTGACTGATCATTGTCATTTGATTCTAGTCCTCAAAAAAGCCACTTTTTAACTCAGTGCGGTTTTAAGAAAGGCAAATGGTTATAGAAACAAAAGCTGGCAGTGCCCATCTGTTCCTATCAAGGTTCATGACGGTTCCTGTCTCTCAGGCTAGCTGCCTGTCAGTTTTCACTGAATTAGAGCTTGACTTTACAACTGGAATTTTGATTTCCCCGATCACTAATCTGTGATTGGCATTTCTTTACTCAGATGCTCAGCTGGATCTCGGAGCAGTGCTGGTGTTCTCCACCCTGGGGATAAGCCGGAGCAGCACAGTCACCATGGCCTATCTTATGCATTCCCACCAGTTTTCCCTGAAGGTACATCACTGTCATTCTTCCCACAGATACTGGCTGGGTCTGAAGTTTATTTCTGTTCCCGAAGCCTCATTGCTGTGTTAACAAGAAAGAAATTATCTGTGCATTCATGCAGACTATCCACCTAACAATGTAAGAGATTCTCTTACATCAGTTGTATCTTGTACCTTTAAGGAGGCGGCTTAGGTGCGATTTTGGATCTCTGAGCTCTTACCTGGCACCTGTGATATTCTTGTATTTCCCTACTTAACCACAGGGCTATAAAAATAAAGCAGATTACAGATCTTAGCTCTTCCACTCTCCTGGATCTGAGAAAAAGAGTGTCTGGAAGCTACCAGACTTAATCCCGTCTCTTAATGCCAGGTGGTTACAGGGACGTTCACACCCTGGTACCTGCAGAGCTCTGATTTACCGCTGGGCTCATCAGCACTGACTTCTGAAACCTTGTTATATTTCCCCAGAAGCAATCCCCTCCCACAGACACCACTGTAAAGAAATCTGGAACGGGATAACACTAGCCTGGGAGGGACACCCAGGTGAAAAGGATGGTACATTCTGTTCCAGAGCTCTGAATAACATATGAAAAATAAGGAATGAAGGCTGAGAATGACCCTGTGGCGTGGTGAGACTGGCAGCCTCTCCCCAGATGCCAGCCCTTTATCCCTTTGGGGACAAAACACGGGCACTGTGCTGCTGTAGGCACCAGCTCGTGCTGCCTGCTTGGCACAGAGCAGCCTTTTTCCCATGAGAACTGAAAGGTTTCTCCTTAAAAGTCTTGTCTTTGTTTGGAAAGCGTGACCTCCTTTGGGAGCCTGAAAGGATTGATTCAAGCTTCACTGGAGCTGGGTCTGTATCTAATCATTTAATTGATTTTGTGCAAACATTTGCAACATAAGAGGAAATCTCTTACCATCGGTGTGTGCCAAAGGGTAATTTCGGGTTGAGCGTGCCAGCTGGGCAGCAGACACTATTTGGTCTCTGCTAGTAATGCTGGGTGTGATTGCCCCAGCACATCGATAACCATTCCCTTGCTGTTTTCCCCTGCATGCTAAACTGCCAGAGACGTTTGTGATGGCAGAGCAAAAGTCAAAGCTGATCCTTGCAGTTTCTCCCAGTTGGTATCAACAGGTTGGTCTCAGCGTTTTGCTGAGCGCTGTGGTGTCCTGCAGCTGGCCTGGGCAAAGCCTTCCTGGGGGATTTTCCTGGCAGATGAGTTTGTTTCTTGTAGACTAAAGCAACTCAACAGATTTCTGTGTGACCCTTTGCCCAATCTGGGCAGAGATCTGTGAAAATTTCCAGAGATATTGCAAAAGAAACACAGATTTGGGACGTGTGGCCCCTCAGTCTATTAGGAATCAATCTGAGTAGATCTGCGGGGTTCAGGGGAACTACAGACACACATACCATGGGCAGAGGAGTAAATATTGGAAGATGAGGTTCAGAGCCTGCAGAATTGCTGAGATTAGAAAAAAAGCAAACCAATGGAGCACTATCTTGTGACCTTTGGTCTCGTTACACTTAAGCAATCCTCTGATTGCTGGGGGGAATCAGCAGGAAGATGAGCACTACTGGGTAAACCCCAGGACGTAGCTGAGCAAAGCAGAGTAATGCTGGCGGATTTGCCCTCTGTGTAGCAGAGTTCCTAGCTGATTACACGGAACTAACAAATCATTAAGATGGCTGTAATTAACGTGGTGGGATAACTGGAGCTTAATAGCCGCTCTGCCACACCAGGTCACACCAGTTCAGAAATGTGCAAACTTTGGTTTCTTGCCTGTAAATAGCTGATACTTCGCTGCTTCGCTTATCACCCATGGAAGAAATGGCTTTTTAGCATAGAAAATCCAGGACTGCACTGCTCTGTCAGCGTAAACAATACAAGAAACACATCAGCTAATGAAAGAAGCATGAGCTATCCTCATAGCCAGGAAAGCCGGGTATAAAGATGAAAGGCTTCTCTGAAGTTCACATCTGGATCCGTTATGTCCTTGCTTTGGTAGCCAAAGTCTTATCTGCCAAAGTCTATCACGGGCAGTAAATACAAAGCTGTTTTGTTCACAAATGTAGCTGCTTAGCGTAACTACAATAAATTATTTTTCAGCTCAAATTTCTAACGCTTCTTTGCTTTCTTTCTACTTCCAGAAAGCTTGGGACCACGTTCTGAAATGCAAAGAGAACATGAGACCGCACCGGGGCTTTGTGAAACAGCTTTCAGACTGGGAGGCCCAGATCTATGGGACCACGATCACAGACATCTCCGAACCAAACTACTGACAGCACAGGGAGCACCCAGCAGGGGAAGATGCTTCCCTGTCCGCACCACCATCTGTCCTGTAGGTAGAAGGTTAACAGAAATCAGTTGAAAAAGCTCTTAACATAATGGAATTCCTTCATCTTTAGCTCTTATCATGCTGGGTGAAGTTTTGGAGCCGTTAGGGGAGCGTGCCTGCGTTGCTAAAGGTGGTTTGGGGAAGGCGAGGCCTGCAGGACGCGGCCCGTTCAGCACCACTTGCCTCCTCTGTAAGCCAGCAGGTTTATGGCCACGTTATCGGGCCTGCTTCCTGCCCCAGCTATGGGGAAGTTGTCAGTGCTCCCTCTGAAAGGCAAATTTAGAATTTGACTGCACCTGGTCCCAGCCCGGGGAGACGAGGGCAGAACCTCCCCGTTTCAGGAGCTCCCCTGTTCCATAGGAGTCTTTGCAGACCCTGGCAGGCACCGGACCCTCACCCTCTGGTTTTGGCTGGCAGGCAGGACCCTGCTTCCCCCCAAATCCAGCGACCTGACCTTGCCTGGCAGCCACTTTCGAGGCCCTGGTAATATTATAGGACCACACCAGCCGTGCTGCCCCTCTGCCCTGCAGCACTCCGACTCCTTCCACGGACACCACAAAATAAAAACCCTACACAAAAACCCTCCTGGGCTCTCCCTGCACTCCATGCTAAGCATTTATCACCGCGTGGCTCGGGGTGCTCCCCCCCCCCCTCTCCCTGCCCTTCCCCATCCTCCCCTAACCCCCAGCATCGTTGGGGGGGGGGGGAGCTCCACCCGTTACCCCCGTTGCGAACCCAAACACCCCAAACCGAGACCGGGGCTGCTCGGGGGAGGCCGGGTCCCGGCAGCCCCCCTCCGGGTCCCCCCCCCCCGGTGCCGGTCCCGCCTCTCCCGGCTCGGGGCGTGCCCGGAAGACGGCGGCAGCGCCGGGCCCGGTGCCTGGCGGCCTCCAGCCTCGCTGCTTCTCCTCCTCCGCTGCTTTCCCTGCCGGCCTTCAGCCTCCGCTGCCTCTCCGCCATGGCCAGCGGCGCCTCGGCCGCCGACTGCCTGCGGGAGTGGGAAGAGCTGCAGGAGGGCTACCAGCGCATCCAGGTACCGCTGGGCTCCGAGCACAGCCTCCACCCAGCCCGCAGCCTCCGAGGGAGAGGCTCCGGGGCTCCCCACCGCACCCCGTTGTGCCCAAAAGGTTCAGGACCCCCCCCCTTTAACACCCCCTTCCCCATGGCTCTGTGCCCCTCTGCTCCGCGAAACCTCCCCGGAGAGGCTGAGCTCTGCCCCTGGGCAGGGGCTGGCACCTCCTGCTCGACCCCCCCCTCCCGGCCTGGCCCCGGTTCCCTTTTCCCCTCCTTCCTTCCCCCCCCCCCCCGGCTGTTGCAGGCGGCTGTGCCCAGATCTGGGGCAAGGGAGGCTTTGAGAAACCCGCTCTTGCTCCACAGGGGTTGTGGGGACAGCCTGGTGCCAGCCCTGGGGATGTGACAGCTCCATCCTATAGCCCTGAGCCCCCCCGGCCTGGCACGATCTCTCCAGCAGCCCCCTCGGAGCGCGGTGGTCCCGGGGTGGTTTGGAGCAGCAGGACCCAGACCTGAAGCTCTTTAGGAGCAGGTGGCACACACGGCACTGGGTCCCGGCTACCTGGGAGCAGCAGGAGCAGGAAAAGGGGTTTGTGGAGCACAAACGTGCTGCCGGGACATAAATCACTGCTGGGGGAGCGGGGAGCATCTGGGATCTGTCCCCCCCCTGCTGCGGCCACGCCACTCACCCCAGGAGGGAGACTGAGGTATTTCCCTCCTCTGTGCCTTGCTTTCACCTTTCCCTGCTGGGAAGGGCTTTGACAGCTGCTGATAAAGTGCTTGATAAGAAGCGCAGAGCCTGAAACGCGTCTGCACCAAGGTCTAGTCCAAGGGTTGTCGTGAGCAGCGTGGAATTCTTTGGAGGTGGCGGTGCCGGGGCTGCCCGCGGCCGGGTTAAGGTTGTTTTTCAGCTGACTGGGACAAGGAGCATTGACACAGCGCGGTTCTCTCCTTTCCTGTCTAAATATAGCAGAAGAATGGCATCTAGCGTTACCCAGGTGCTGTTGGGTGACAGCGGCACGTGGGGCCCTGCAGCCGGCCCCACCACGAGCCCTCCTGGAGCAGGGGCTCCCTCCAACATCCCAGGGCAGGACCGGGGGGGGCCTGGCCCAAACCACGGGCACCCAGGGTGACAGCAGCAGCAAAGCCACCTCTGTGCCCCCCACAGCAGTGTTTGAATCACAGCCCCTTGGCTGCAGCTGGGGGGTTCTGCCTAAAACAACAGAGCCTGCCCAGTTTCTCCATGTGGGCATCAGGCACCCTGCGGCCTCCTGGAGCAGGTATCTGGAGCGTGCTGCTCTCTCTCGTGCCCAGGATAATCACAAGCTGTACAAGCAGAAGCTGGAGGAGCTAACCAAGCTGCAGGACGGGATCTCCAGCTCCATCGCACGGCAGAAGAAGCGGCTGAAGGAGCTGTCCTTGTCCCTCAAAAAGTAAGCTGGCATCCTGAGACAGCCGGGGAGGAGAGAGCCACGAGGACGGGGCTACTGCGTGCACTCCAAGCTGTCCCCAGTGCAAACATTAAAAAAGAGCTGTTGAGGTCTGGCTGTACCCAGGCAGGTTTTTTCCTCGGCTTTCCCTTCCCCAGTTGTGCTCAGGCTGCAGTTGGCAGCTTGAGCTGCCCGCCTGGCGGGGGGAAGAGCTGCTGCACCATCCCTTTCACCCCTGCTCCCTTCCCTCCAGCAACCCCCAAAAAAACTCCCGCAGGAGCTCTCCGTGCAGCTGGAGGTGCCGACTCCCCTCCCGTGTGTCCTTCCCGTCCTTGGGGTGTCCTTGTCCGAGACACAGCCTCGCATCACACCAACCCGTGCTGGGCTGTGACCGAGGCTTCCCTGCTGCCAGCGCCTGCCTTTCCTCCCCAGATGCAAGGCCCACGCGAGTCCCGAGCAGCAGGAGTCCATCCAGGAGACCCAGAGCCTCATCAAAGAGCGGCAGAACGTCTTCTTCGAGATGGAGGCCTATCTGCCAAAGAAGAACGGGTAAGAGGTGCTTCACAGTCCCTTTTCCAGAGGGATTTGGGACAGCCGGGGTCTGCGGGTGCCAGGGTCCCCCCGCAGCTGATCCTCTCCTTGCCAGAGGGGCTCCTAGGGGAGGCAGAGGGCTGGGAGGTGGCTGCTGCCCTTGGAAGCTGTCCCCGGGGCCAGATCCTTCACCTCCACCCCTGGAGGGAACCTTAGGGCCCTTTTTGGGATGACAAAAACCTTCGATGTGCAGCACAAGCCCCCAGCAGCTGTAACACCACAAGGCACGACCCTGCTGTCGCCCTGCCCTTGGCTGCAGCCGCCTCGCTGCCCCAGGACGCCTGGGACGGAGCCAGCCCCAACCTCCCCGGGCCCCGCCACCACCTTCCCCTGCCCTTGAACCCCTGGCCAGCACCCGCTGGGTGCCAACAGAGGGGGTGGCTCTGCCCTCAGCCACCCGCCTGCCACCCTCGGGGCGGGATGCCAGCACCACGCACGCCTCCTGGCAGCGCCCGCTGGAAAACATCTCGTGTGCCCCTTCCCCGCTGTCACCGTGCACGGGACAGGGATGGGGACAGGGAGGTGACAGCCAGCCCTGGGCAGGTGCCCACCGCACGCCTCTGCTCTCTCTCTCCAGGTTGTACCTGAGTCTGGTGCTCGGGAACGTCAACGTCACGCTGCTCAGCAAGCAGGCTAAGTACGGCCCCTGTGTCACGGCGGGCGTGTGCTTCGGGGGGGGATTTGGGAGCCCCTCGTCACAAGGAAGCCATAAATCTTCCCCTGGGCACGTGGCTGCCTTGGCCCACCTCGTGCAGATTCCGTCCCTGCTCTGTTCAGTTCTTCCTTTCCCAGAACTGGCCCTTGGGCTCTGCTCAGCTCCCGGGGCCGTGCTGGGACAGACCGTTCGGATCTGCCACCAACGCTGTGCCTGAGTTTCCCCCACGTCAGGGACTTCCAGGAGGGACAGTCATGGCCAGCCCCCTCCTCTTCCCCTGGGGAAACGCCAGGCTTGGCCCTCAGCCCCCACACGCAGGGAGGTGCTGAGCAGAGAGCCCTGACCCCATCCCATTCCATCAGCTCCCCAAAAAATGCTGACCAGACCCCGATCTGCCCGGCTCCCCTGGGAGCCCCCCTGCTCACCAGTGTGAGCGCAGCGTGGTTTGCTCTCTCAGAAGTGCCCGGGGACAGGGATTTCCCTTCACACCTCCGAGAGGTTCCCAGCAGAGCAGCGCTTTTGCCCAGCTGGGCAGGACGGGATGGGAGGACGCAGACTGGCAGCAGCCACCTTGCTCCAAGCTTGTGCTTCCCCGCAGGTTTGCCTACAAAGACGAGTACGAGAAGTTCAAGCTCTACCTCACCATCATCTTGCTCATCGTGTCCTTCTCCTGTCGGTTCCTCCTCAACTCCAGGTGAGCCTGGGCTGGGTGCTGGGTGTCCTGCAGCTGCTGCTGCTCGGTGCCTGAGCCCCACTGCTGCCCTCTGACACCGCTCTGCTGCACCCCAGGGTGACAGACGCCGTCTTCAACTTCCTCCTGGTGTGGTACTACTGCACCCTCACCATCCGGGAGAGCATCCTGATCAACAACGGATCCAAGTGAGTCCCTGGGGGCTCGGGGAGGGGGCGTGCAGCCACCTGGTCCCCCCCCGTGGGGCCACGGTGCAGCTCTGCGCTTCCCAAGGGAGCAGCTGATGCCTCCTACTCAGGGCGTGTAGCAAACCCTGGTAATTAGCCACACGAGCTGGCTTTAGGAGGCAGCTGCTGGCGTGGGAGGGATGAACTCACCGTGTGGAGGTGGCAGGGAAGCCGGAGCAGCCCCCGAGTGCCACCTGGACTGGAGGCGCTGGGTCCCTGCTCTGCTTGTAGCCATTTCGTGGCCATCCCTGCTCCTCGCCTTGCCCTGGGAGCCAGGGGGTGGCTGGCACGTGGCTGGCTCTGCCTCCCTGGGCTGTGCTTGGATCTCAACTCCTGACCCCTGGCCTGTGTCTGCCTTCCAGAATCAAGGGCTGGTGGGTGTTCCACCACTACGTCTCCACGTTCCTGTCGGGCGTCATGCTGACTTGGTAAGCCTGCGTCCCCTCGGCTCCTGGGGGTAGGGACTGCAGCCTGCCTGCTGACGGGGCCTTGGCCCTACAAGCTCTGACCCGTAGCTCTATTCCTGCTCTACGAACGTTGAGGTCTAACGGGCAGCTCCACGCAGCCCTCACCAGGCCCAAGCCCTCCAGAGAGCAGCAGCCACCAGCATCCAGCGGGGCAGGCAGCACCGCTTGGGGCTACGGGTTGGGAAACGCGACCCCAAAGTGTTGCAATCCTCCTCCAAGGGCTGCTGCAGTGTTTTCCTGACCCCTGCACCAGCCTCCCCACTGCTGGCTCCCCAGGCCGGACACTTCCACGCTGCAAGCACTGTTCTACAAGGCACTGACACGGGGGAGCTGCGCTGGGGTACCCGAGCTGGGGATCCCCCTGTTTTGGTGGCAGCGGTGCCGTTACCGCAGCCGTGGGGCAGGCAGGGCTGAAGGCATCTCCTCGCAGCCCTACACGCCCCAACCAGCATCCTCTCTCCCCAGGCCAGACGGGCTGATGTACCAGATGTTCAGGAACCAGTTCCTCTCCTTCTCCATGTACCAGAGTAAGTGCTGCCGGGCCTGCTGGGCTCGACATGTGGCAAACTGGCTGTGGTTGCTCACAGCTCTCAGCTCTCCTGGCTTTTCCCTTGGCTTTTCTCTTTTTTTGGCCTCCCCGGGGCGAGGAAGGTCTCAGGGCGGGGACGATGCTGGTGCCTCCTGCCCTCACCCGCCCTGTCCTTGCAGGCTTTGTGCAGTTCCTCCAGTACTACTACCAGAGCGGGTGCTTGTACCGGCTCCGAGCGCTGGGCGAGAGGCACAACATGGATCTCACTGTGGGTAAGCCAGCATTCCCCTTGCTGCTTGTCCCAGAGCTGCTGTCACTGATTTTCCCGGGCCCACGGCTTCTGGCAGCCTCCCTCCCAGTACAACTGGTGCTAAGCTAAGTGGGAGCTGTGGTTCCTGTTAGCAGCAATCTAGACGGCGGCCTCTGCAGCCCAGGGAGCTCGCTGGGAGGGTGGTCCCACGAGAGGAGCTTCCTCCAGAGTCCCCACTGACCCCAGGGCTAGGAAAACCTGCCTGAGTCCTCCCTGCACGCACAAGTGCCCGTGGGGAGGCTGCGTGAGCCTTCGGGGCCTCAGTGAGGGACACGGCCACTGCACCTCCCTGCCCCTGAGCTCGGGAGCTTGGCTCCACGCGGCCCCGTAACGAGCGTGCTCTCAGCAAACCTTCATCCTCTGCAGAGGGCTTCCAGTCCTGGATGTGGCGAGGCCTCACGTTCCTGCTCCCCTTCCTCTTCTTCGGGCAGGTGAGTGCGCACCGATCCTCGGGGGGACCTGCAGGAGGCCAGAGCCTCAGGGGGGGCTGAGTTGTAGCGCATTCCTGCTGTGCACTGCAGAGGCTGAGCCTTTCCTTTTCCCTCCCAAGCACCACCTCCACAGCCTGGCTAGCGAGGTGGGGCAGCTGTGCCAAGCGCTCGAGCGATGTGCAAAGTACAGCAGCGGGGCTGGCTCTGCCAACCCTCCCCAAACCCTGCTGAACGTCAGCTCTCGAGCTGCTGCCCGAGGTCCAGTTCCTCCTTGACTCGGTCAGGCTGATGGCTGAAAAAGCAGTGGGCTGGTGGGGGGCTTGCTGCAGGGCTCCAGAAGGTGGCAGGGAAGGGGGAAAATGTCCCAGCTGGGTCCCCTGGGGGCTGAGCGCTGTGATCCCGGTGCCATGCCGGGGCAGGCTGGCCTCATGCAAGGCTTGTGCCCAGAGGAGGTGTTGGGATGAGCAGCAGCACGGGGCTGAGCCTTGGAAAAGCGCTAAGCCTCGTGTCTCTGCAGTTCTGGCAGCTGTACAACGCCGTCACGCTCTTCAGGATGCTCCAGCACCCGGAGTGCAAGGAGTGGCAGGTAAGGGGGGGGCTCCAGCAGCTGCCCGGGGAGGGGGCGTCTGCGCCGGGCACGTCCCTCCGCTGACCCCCTGCCTCCTGCAGGTCCTCATGTGCGGCCTCCCCTTCTTCATCCTCTTCCTGGGGAACTTCTTCACCACCCTCCGCGTCGTCCACCAGAAGTTTCAGAACCAGAACAAAGACACCAAGCGGGACTGAAGCGGGGCGCAGCGGGGGCCAGGACTGTTTGTTTCTCCCCGCTGGCTCCGTCCTCCGTTCCCAGCTCCTCACCTCGATGCCGTCCGGACGTGGGTGTCTCTCCCCGTTCCGTGGGACAGAGCTCGGGGGCTGCTCGTGAATAGAAGCGTTGGCTGCGGTGCTGGAGCTGTGCCCGTGTCGCTCACCTGGCAGCAGGAGCACCCTGCACCTCTGTCCTGCCTGCCTTCCTCCCCCGGGAGGAGCAGGGGGGCTCAGGACAGCCGCTTCCCTCCTCTCTGCCCTGAAGACAGTCTCGGGGATGTTTCTGGGGTGGAGCCTGAGTCCTCCTCGCCCTGCTGCGGGCAGGGAGCAGCCTGGGGCACCCTCGCATCAGCACCCTTTGGGACGGGGCTGGGTGTGAGGCTGGTCCTGTCCCCAGCCCTGCAGCCAGGGCAGCTCCCAGTGCTGAAGGCAGAGGCCAGCAGGGAGCAGTCACTGCCCCTGCAGCCCCCTGGGCTTGTTGGGGAGGTTGGGGGCCGTGCAGACACCCTGATTTCCAGCATGGGCTGCCCCCTGTTCCTCCTCGCTGCAGGGGGGGCTGAGCTGGGGCAGGGGAAGGGGTGGGAGCACCATGAGCCTGCCCCAGGCTTTACTCGAGCTGTGTGAGCAGCACCCTGGGCTTGCATCTCTGCAGGATGCACGTGCAGAAATAATAAAGGGAAGGCGCTGCCTCGGTCTGCTGGGGTCGTGGCAAAATTTGCAGGCTCTGCCATGCACTTGGGGCCTGGCTGGCTGTGGGCTGTGGCAGGAAGGTGGTGGGGAGGGAGGAAACCCATCCCCAGCAGCCCCCACACCAGCATGGGGTGCGCTGGGGCTGGGAGGGCTGAGCAGAGCAGGGCTGGGAGCTGCCAGCTCCCCGCCCCGTGCCACCAGAGCAGGGACACCCCGGGCAGGATCCAGTGTCCCCAGAGCCCGGTACTACTGCAGGGAACTCCTGAAATGCAGGAAACCAAAGAGCATTTCCAGTGCAGCCGTGTCTCCGTCCCGAGCCGCCTGCTGAGCACCGCTGCTGTCCTCACCTCCCTGCCTGCGCCTGGCACCTCGGGGAGCCCCGAGCCTCCTGCCAGCTGATCCCACAGCTGCTGCCTCTTCCCCGGGTCCCCTCCACGCAGGGAAGGCTGCGAGGCTGCTCCTGCCTCTGTGCCTCCTTCGGCTGAGCAGGGGGTGCAGGGGAGGGCAGGAAGCAAGCTCCAGAAACAGTGTTTTTATTCCAAGGGCGAGTATATTTAAATAATTTACAGTCATTGGAAAGCCTGAAAAGTTCTTTTTTTTTTTTTTTTTTTTTTCCATGATTAAATCACAAAGATGTTAAAATAAAAATAGTATTTAAAAAAATGAGCCTACACAGCATGACGGAGGGGGCTGGGCACAGGGGAGCCGGCGGCTGCAGGACCCACGGGAGCCAGCGGGGCCCCGGCAGCCGTGACCCCAGAGCAGGTCTCTTCCAGAGGGGACAGGAGCCACCAGGAGGGCGGCAGGGGAAGGAGAGGGGTGCCTGCGGGGTCCCAGCTGGGTGCTGGCTCTGCCTTTTCCTCAGAGCAGCCGGCCGCCAGCCCCGGGGCTCCGGGAATTGGGCAGCACCAGGAATAAGGCAGCACCTCGTGTGCAGGAAGGAGCCCAGAGCTCCCCCGGTGCCACCCGTCCCTCGGCTGTCACCGACCCCAAGGCGAACACCGGGGACAGAGCCCCAGCCACCCCCCTGCCCCTCTCAGCCCCTTCCACCCAGCCTGTCCTGGAGACGGCTGCGGCCCAGGAGGGGCTTGGGGTGACACCGGGGTCGCTGGAGGCTGGGGACGGGGCAGTCGCCCACGGGGGCAGCGGGCAGGCACCTCCTGCCTCCCACAGGCCCATCCCAGGGACCCGTTCTCTCCCTGGCCCCACCAGCCCCGCTCTTAGCTCCAGACGTCCAAGGAGTAGCGGCCCTTAGTCATCAGTTTCTTTACATAGTCCGTGGCCTGGGACTGGCTCATGTTCCCATACTCAGCCACGATCTCGTAGAAAGTGTTCTGTACGTCCCGGGCCATGTTGCGGGCATCCCTGGAAAGGAGAGGACCGTGAGCAAGGTGGGGACACGGGGCCACCGAGCCCTGGTTGGCTCTGAACGCCCAGACAGGGGGGGCTTGCTCAGCCCAGCACATGGAGCAGTGGGTAAGCTGAGTCACGCTTATTTGCCAAAAAATAGGAACCCTTTCCCAAAATCCCCTCCCCACCCCTCGACTTACCCGCACACGTAGATGTGAGCGTTTCCGTCATGCAGCAGCTTCCAGATGTTCTCCTTGTTCTTCTTCAGCAAGTGCTGAACGTAAACCTGGCAGGGAACAAGGGGGAGGTGAGAGGGGCAGAGCCCCCGTGCCCCCAGGAGCTGTCACAGGACCCACAGCTCACCCAGAGGAGCTGGGGCTTCCCGTGACTGCCACGGCCGTTCCCACGGCCGTTCCCTGGCAGCGGGCTGCGTGTTTCCAGCCTTATTTCCCCCACCCAGCACCACGGTGAGCGGGCAGGAGCGGTACCTTCTCAGCCTGGTCCCTGGAGAAGGCGACGTTGAGCTGGGTGAGGACGCCCTCCTGCTGGAATTGGGCCAGCTCCTGGCGGTACAGGTAGTCCTCGCGCTCGTGGCGGCAGCCGTAGTACAGCACCGTCTCACCCACCTCCTTGCCTGCGGGGTCCCAGGGTCCACGTTAATCTCCCAGCCCTGCCACCCCCACACCTCCCCCCGTCCAGCTCGCCCAGGAAAAAATTTCTTTACCGAGAGGGTTGTGAGGCATTGGGATGGGCTGCCCAGGGAACTGGTGGAGTCACCATCCCTGGAGGTCTTTAAAAGACGTTTAGATGTGGAGCTCAGGGGTATGGGTTAGTGGAGGACTTGTGTTAGGTCAGAGGTTGGGCTGGGTGATCTTGGAGGGCTCTTCCAACCTAATGATTGTGTGATTCGGGGCTGGCAGCGCTGTGCTGCTGCCTCTGTTTGAGGGGAGAAGCTCATTCAATAGCTACACGTGTTAGAAATGAGTGTAAGTGACCCAAGTGGCTATTTGGGGAGGTGGTGGCGAGAGTCAAAGACCTGCCTTAGGTCTGTCTGCCCCTCAAACATCCTCTGCAGCCAGAAGAGCTCAAAGCACCCTGGTGCTGCAATAAAGCACTCGGCAGCTCCTCACCCAGCTCCACAGCCCCTGCTTTGCCAGGCCCACGTCCCTGACCCATCAGCGTGTGGCCAGCACAGGCTGGAGGTGCTGGCCGGCCCCGCAGAGCAGAGCCCTGCAGCAGCTCCTGCCCGGGGAGGTTTTTGGGCGCTCACCTTGCTGCTTGAGCCAGGCGCGCTCCTGGATGAAGCCAATGAAGGGAGCTATGCCAGTGCCCGGTCCGATCATGATGACGGGCGTGCTGGGCTTGAAGGGCAGGCGGAACTGCGACTTCCTGACGTACATGGGCACCAGGGAGTTGCTCCCGTTCTCGTTGGGCACCTTGCTTTTCAGCCAGTTGGTGGCCACCCCTTTGTTCAGCCGCCCCGTCTTGGTCTCGTACTCCACCGTCACGGCGCAGATGTGGATGGCGTTGGGGTGAACCTGCGGGGAGGGGACGTCAGAGCCAGGCAGACAGGGAGCCCCCACAGCTGGCTGCAGCGTGGGACACCCAGTTTCCCCCTGCAGACCCTACACAGGTCGGGGTAACCCCGCTCTTTGGGCACGGAGGGACCCCGTGGTGCCGCAGCTCACCTTGGAGGAGGAGGCGATGGAGTAGTAGCGGGCCTGCAGGCGGGGCAGGAGCTCACACAGGTGGTCGATGGGGGGGCGCAGTGAGGGCATGTCCTGCAGGATGGCCAGGATGTTCCTCCGGGCTTCCACCACCCAGCTGAGATAGAGAGCCTGCGGGAGAGGAGGGCACACGCACGGTGACCCCATGCAGCCACCAAACACCCCCAGAGCTCCCCGCACAGGGCGCCCAGCGGCCCCACATCCCCTTCTGGTCCCCCTCCCCAGCCCCAGTTCACCCCAGCAGCTGTGCTGGGAGGGCTGCAGCTCCCACCTTGCCCTCCGCAGAGGACGATGCCATCTTTCGGAGGCGCTCCTGCTCGCTGCTGTCGGTGGCGTACTGCGCCAGCTCGTAGAGCACGTTGGTGCGGGGCGGGTTGGTGATGTCCAGGTAGTACGTCAGGGCTGTGCGGTACGACGTGGGGCAGGGGAAGGGGTGTTTCTTATTGGATTCCTCTGGAGGAGATGAGAGGAAAGAGGAAAAAAATAATAAAAAAAAAGTAAACCAGTAACTATTTGTTAAATTAGAGATTTGCTGCCAGCAGCTGTGTGCAGCACAGGAGGTGGACGCAGTTTTGTTCCCTGCCTCCCATGGGAAGCGTCACTGCACAGACACCTTGGGAAGGCCACGCGGAAGGCACTGCCCTCAGCCTGGAGAGCAGCAGTGCTCGGAGCCTGGGGCCCAGGCAGAGGTGGGAGCAGGTTTCCCAGGGCGAGCTCATGGCAGAGACACCCAGAGAACTGCCAGGCCCAGCAGGAGGGGGCTCTGCAGGGCTAATTTGGCCTCATGCTCTTAATGCCTCCGTCAGACCTGCCCTCAGAAGCATCCTTTGGCCACGGACATCTGTGCTCACAGCCCCCCTGGGGAGGTGAAGCAGCAGCAGCCAAGGCTGGAGCTGTTCAATTTAGCAAACTAAGAGCACCGTAAGGGACACGAACGATGATATGAGGCCAGAGACTGGGACAGAGCTCCAGCAGCGCATTAAAGCCAGTCGCTCTCTGCAAACCAGGAGCCAGCTCCTGGGCCAGCAGCTCTGATGCCTTGGCGCAGGCTTCACCGCTTTGGGAGCAAGATGGGCAGCAGCTGCAAGCTCCCTCTTGCCAGAGGCCAGCTCTGCTGGGAACGATGCCCAAGAGAAGCTCTTTGAATCAGTACTAAGAGGAGCTCTCCTCCGGCAGCTCCATCCCCAGGGCTGTGCGTCCTCCAGGGGCTCACCACCAGCGTTTCAGGCTCCAAAGCTCCTCCCGAGCTCTGGGGCTGCAGCAGCAGCAGAGGGATGCTCTGGTGGGCTGGTGCTCCGTGATTAGGAGCGTGCTGTTACGTAACGTGTTGTTGGATGGGCACAGCGAGGACATTTCACAACTGACCCACTTCGGCTGGCTCGCAGCAGGCTCCGAGCCGCTGCCGCTAAATGGCTGCGCACTCGGAGTGGCCGCGGGATGTCCCCGTTTGCATCAGTCCCGAAGGGGATCTGACCTCTGCTCTGGTGCAAGGACAAGAGGCCGTGGCAGAAGGAGAGCTGCTGATGCTCAGGGGAGATCCACACTCACCGTCCAAGTTGTTCAGGGACATGATCGTGTCCAGGTCCGTGCCCAGGATCTCGCCGATCTGATTCACCAGGGATGAGTCATTGGCCGGGTACACGGCCACGTGGTCCCCAGACTCGTACCTGGTACAAAAACAGGAAGAGAAGAGATGAAAATTGGCACTTCTCGCCCACGCCGAGCCCGAGCTGCTCAGCTGGGAGACAAGCAGGCTGGGGCTCAGCAGGACAGCAGAGCTGAGCTGCTGCACAGCACCTGCAGGGCCAGACCCCAGAGCTGGCAGGCAGAGCAGCACGGGACCACTGGGGAATGCTGGTTTTAACAACCTGGGGAAGCTCCAAGATAACTGCAATTTTGCCAGAGACTTTAACGAGGCCAGACTTCCAGCAAGGACAGGCCAGCTCC